TTGGGACCATTTTTCCAGATCACCACATGGTTCTTCCTCTGCCTCAGTATCCAAAATCTTATTGCAAGGAGAATCAGCTGGCACCGAAGAAGCATTGTGTGAAACTTGGGCTTGAATCTTCTTTTCCCGGTTCCTTTCTCTTATCATATTACTAATACTTTCCTTATTTTTCTCATATAAGAAATCGTTAAGTTCATTAGAATTATTAGAATTTGAAGCATCAGATGAAGTAGACGAAATCTCTTCCGTAGAAAGTGCATCCTGTATATTAGAAATGGTTTGATCTTTCTTTTTGATTTCCTCAATATCATGTCTTAATTTCGCTACTTCGGCTTCAAGCTCAGTGTTTTTGGTCTTGAGGTTAGTAGTATCTTCTTTAAGTTTTGTATGATCAGCTTCGCGTTTGCTGTTTTCTTCCATAATCCGTTTTAAAAGCTCGGTATTCTTAACCTCAAGTTCAGCCTTTTCAGCCTCAACCTTAGCATACTTCTTTCTAATTTCGGTAATCTCGACTGTAAGCTTGATATTTAATTCTCTTAACGAAGCAATTGTAGTTTGTGTATCCGCCATTGTTTTACATAAAATGCGGATATATTCAAAATAAAAATATATGTCCATTCCAATTTTAGTTCCGAAGGAACGCTCAAAGGGCAAAAATTCTCTCTCGATCATATGCGAGTTAATATACATCGATAACAATACAATAAAATAAATTCACGAAATATGCACACAAAAATAAACTGATTATGTATAGGAAATCGACTACAGAGGCCAACTTTATTGATATACAGTAGGGAACAGTGAAATATAGAATATTAATACAGGGTAATTATATATACAATTAATATTCTAGCGCAACAGAACTTCTCTTTAGTGATATAGCAGTTAACACTGTGGATCTTTCATTAACATGTATTTTCTCAGTCTCTTCTTTTTTTCTCTTAAATTTTTCTCAAATATTTTTAAATGTCTCGTCCATCGGTATTAAGAATTTTTTGCTAACATCGAGTTTATAGTTAATAAAAAATAACGTGGCTCGAACAATTTTCACAATCGAAGTTAACAAAATTCTCACGCATATATGCTCACATAAATCGGGAAGATTATACAAAACGAATTTTTTATAAGAAAATAATTCTTGAGCCTTTATGGGCTATCTTTATTAAGCTGATCATAATTATACAAGCATAACTTTATTTATAAATGTTAAAATACAGGGAAAAAATTTAACAGCAAAGTGTATAGTAGCATGTGTTGTAATAAATGTTCAAAATATTAATAATGCAAATATGTAGTGGTTGATAAAGTTCATCCTTCTAACCTTGATTCAGCCGATGAAATAATTTCCCAGTCATGTGTCGAAGGTTTACCTTTTTTCCCACCTTTTTTACATTGTAAACATTGAGCAGAGACAAAGGTACTTTTATTACAGAAGGCGATGACAACCTCAACTATCGTTTCGATATGACTTGCAGTATTTGACCGATAGTTCTTATCAATAATTTGTTTTAGCCCCTCCTTAGCGAGCTTTCTCATTCCTTCACGGTCTTTCGATTTAGCGAGCTTAAACTCAAAAATAATACAAGTATCAAATTTTGGGTTAATTGGGATGATGCGGACATCAGGACGACCTTTCCCAGTTTCACGATTGGAGACGACCTGGTAATCATCACCATGAAACATTGCAAGTGCTCCAAGGACAAATGTATGGTACCAACCCTCATATGATTTGGCTCTTTTAGAATCACCAATATCAAAACAGGAGATTATTTCCATATAAAGAGCAGGAAATTGTTCGCAAAACACCTTAATATTTTTCTTGAATAACAAGTTGAATATGTCATTCGCTTTTAGCCGATCTACGCCTACGAAATCGATAATCCACTGCTTCCATTGTTTAGCAACTTCTCTGTTTGGTATAGTAAGTTTGACTTCAGTAGACACATCAAGTTCATCGTAACTTATGGTCAAATAGCCACTATAACATAGTAATGTATAGATCGCGTTTATTTCTAGCTCATTCACGAGAACGTCGTATCGGAGATGTGGTATGAGTTCCACTTTAACATATCTATCGGCGTCTTGTAACGAATAAAATGAATAGTAAAGACTCTGGAGCTCTTCTTCAATATTTTGGCTACATTTTTTTAGACATTCCCTAACCGTGACTGTCGAACCACTATTTGTCCAGTAGTCCCCGATAATACCTTTTTGCAAAGAGGATATAATTGAGTGAGGGTTGTAGACACGCTCATTGGTACTAGTTCGATATCCGTTGTAATGAGTGCGCAAATTATCGAGTTCAAATTTCAGATCACTTTTACTTAGCAAGAACTCAACTTCTTTCTCCGTGAAACCAAACATGTCTGAGAAATGGGCACGCCCACGTATTCCAGGTAAGATATGCATTGGGTAATGCCCAACATTGTTAAGTCCAGAAAGGAAACTTGCTTGGCCTAGAGGAAGCAGTCCAACGAACAGGACCTTGCATACGTATTCATTATCCTGCACCGAAATTTATAGATTAGCCAACAACCCAAACAATATGTACTAAGTAACAATGAAGAACAGTTTACCTTCGCAACGCTAGAGTACATGGATTTAAAAAAAATATCAGCTTCGTTGTAAAAACTTCCTGCATGTTCCATCGGCCAGTCGTATTCATCAATGAGAATAATGGTTTGTTTACCAAAGTATTCGTGAAGATAGCGTGATAGACGGGAGATAGTGTTTATTAAATGTGACTCGTCAATTGTTTCGTCAATAATATTTTTAAATAAGAGTTCATCATCTATATGAAGCTTTTTGTTATCAATAATATAACGATGTTCTTTGTATAAATCTGATATTTTTTCCTTGATGGAATTTAGCATTGATTCCCAAGACTTATAATTAAGATCCTAGTAAAATAAGTTCGTTAGTCACCCACCCAGTAAAAGGAAGAGTTGCATCATTGTTTGCTTACCTTGAAACTAACGTAAATAACGGGCCAATTGCCGAAGTGCAACTTCATAAACCAATCGAATTGTGCAACTTTGAGGTCTTTAAACAAAGCAAGCTTCTGTTCTTTTTCTTGTTCAGACACCGGTTTGAAAAAAGTATAAAGCATTGAAAGGTTTGTAGATTTGCCAAACCTACGGGGGCGAGTAATAAGTATAGCCCGCTCACTGTATATCATAAATTCTATGATGAAAAGCGATTTGTCCACAAAAACGCCTGATGTAACGAATTTAAAAAAATCAGATTCGCCCGGAGAATATCCGCCTTTTACAATTACGTTTGGGATATCTTTTACAACGAGAAAAACCAGTAATAATTAATCTTTTTGAATGTTTTATAAATTTGTCATCAAAATTTACTTACCTTGGTACAATGCCTTTCTGGTACCTTTGATTTATAAATAAAATAATATATTTTTTAATAAATAATAATGGATATTAAATAATTAGAATTTCAGGAAACCTCACTTTGTTCCTGGTCACCCCATGCCATAGACTTTGAATCATCAAAAACCTGTTCACCATCGAGAGCTAGAAAGTGAGACAATTGATTAGATGAATGTTATGATTTGGCATAGAATACAGATATTTCAAATTTAGTTCTGGATAAAAACAAAACTGATTATAGCATACCTTTGATTAACCTTGGGCGTTTTCTCGGCGGTCCATCGTCTATTATGGCACAAGTTAATAAACGAAATTAGGTTTGGAATATTCGAATGCAGTCGTGGTAAACAAGAACAGAGAAAACGGAATATCACGAATAATGGAAGGAAGAAATGGGGTTAAAAATGTGAAAAAAAGAATATGTTAGTAAAACATTAAATAGTATACCAAGCTTTCTAGTTGCAACGCGTTCTACGATGACAATAAGTTTATGAGACGCGGAGAAAGCAGTATAGGTTTGGAATATGAGTCAGAGACTCGACACTTTGTGTCTTCGAATGCAGTCGTGGTACTACTTACCCTGGTCCTCGCCCTTTATTTTTTTGACTAAATCCGAAATTGTTTTTGCTGGTCCGTACGCCAAATCGAACCTTCCATCCTTCTGAGTAAGCGTTTCTAATGTTAAGGAAAGGAAGTTTGGACCGGAGACTCCATTTTTTTTGATAATATCGATGTCGTCGTCGTAAAGGTCCAACTTGTCTTTATTATTTTGTAAAAAATTAATGATGTCAGGTCGTTTCCATTTCTGCTGAACTTCCTCGGCTGACGGAAGGGTAATATCTTCAGACATGATTATCGTTATTTATTTTTGAAAATTGGTACTACTTGTAAGTTGCGCAGGTTTAGAAACGAAAAAAAATTTTTTAGTAGGAACGAGTCGTACATTCTCCCTTTTATAGGTTATAGTCGTACAGTACAACAGATTAGGGATTGGAACCGCCTAAAATTTTTCTTAATCGTTTAATCGTTTAACCGTTTAACCGTTTAATTTGGCCTGCATTAAAATAATTCCGGCCCACGACCAACATAATTCTGCCCGGAACTATGGAGCAATTGTTAAACGGTTAAACGGTTCCAATCCCTACAACAGATCACGGATATAATGACAATACTGTATAATATATTTTAGTATTTTTTCCGTAGTTTAAGGGTAGGGTGTACGTAGATCATTTTTCATATGATCTGCATGGTATATTGAATTTTTACATAGTAAATAAAAA